AAGGAAGGAAGGAAGGAAGGAAGGAAAGACAGTAAGAATTAATGAATGTCTACAGAAACAGATAGCTCAGCTGGTAAAAGCACTTGCCACACAAGTCTGATAACCTAAGTTTGATCACTGGAACCCATGGTAGAAGGGGGAAAAACCCATCTTCAAAGGTTGTTCTCTGACCTCCACGCACACATTGTGGAACACAGATGCCTACACACACACACACACACACACACACCATCATCATCATCATCATCATCAATACAATTTAACTTTTTAATTCTTTTTAATGAATTGATATTTTAATATCAGTAGCCATACATCGCAGGGAAGTCAGATTTAACAGGTGCAACAATTTATTAAAATTAAACCAAGCCAGACAATAACACACATGTAAAAAGAATAAATAGCCTTCAAGGAAAACACTCCAAATCCTATTTGTTACAGTGTGTTGGCTAAGATGTCCCATTTTCAGCAAACATTTACAAGACAGAAAACATTTACAAAGACAGAAAAATCAGTGTGACCTATATTCTGGAGAGTAAGCTGTCAATAGGAATTCACTCTGAGCCAAGCTGGGAAGGTTTTGTTCACCAAAGTCACCAGCTTGTCGATTATAACCATGAGCAAATGGAAACCAGGCTTGAAAATTAAAAGAAAACATAAGAAGAGAATTTATAGTGTATTAAAAAGAAAAATATATATTTGAAGCTTAGAGTCACAACCCACCCCACCCTGCCCTGCTGAAAAGATCCGTCTTTAAGACTTTACTGAGAAAATAACTCTAAGAGGTAAAACTATTTGAATTTTAGGAGAAAATCTTTTATGATCTTGATAGTCTTTCACAATTAGATGCAACACCAAATTAACCACCAAGGGAAAATGAGAAAATACTATGTTGACTTTTCAAATTTAGCCATTTTCATCTCTAAAAAACATTCATACTGATTTTCTATTGCAACACATTATCAGAAAACTAATAGCCTAAAATACCCATTAATCAGCTCACGATTCCATAGTTCAAAAGTGACATGCCGTGGGTGACTTTCGGCTCAGATGGCACTGAAGCTGGCTGCACTGTCCCTGGGAGCATAGTACTCCTTTCCAAACTCTTCTGTTAGCATCTGCAAGATTTCTCTGGCCTGGACAATCTGCCTCTTAAGACCAAGTGATGTGGGTTTTTAATTTCCTCAAAACTCCTTTCCAACCGTACCTAGATTTGATAGACGATCCTGGAGGCAGGAACTTTGGGGAATTGGAGCTTGAGGGTTACTTAAAAGTTCTGTCCACCAAAACACATGAAGAAAAGCAAACTCAGAATCTGGAAACAATATGTGTAATTGAAAAGTAACTTGGCATTGGGTGTAGCGGTGAGCACCTCTAATCCCAGCACTTGGGAGGCAGAGGCAGGAAATCTTTGTTAGTTTGCAAGTAGCCAGGTAATCTATTTGGTGAGTTCCAGGACAGCCAGAGCTCATAGTAAGTCCTTTTATTGACAAAAATAAAGTAATTTGCAAGCAACCCAAGAACAAAGTGAGTTAAAAACCATTCCCGCTATTCACTTCTTCATTCTCATTTAATATCTGGCATAAACAAAAGGAAAGAAGAAAGCTTTATTTTGGCTATGGTTTCAGAGATTCCAGTGCTAGACTGGCTGAATCAATTCCAGGTGAACATCTTTGTGGTAGTTACTTGTGGCAGAGTATATGCATCTCATTAGAAAGGAATCAGAGAGCAAAGGACCAGGTACCAGCTAAACTTCAAAAGTATATACACTAACCTGCACCCTCCAATGGAGCCTCCCCTCCCAAAGTCTTTACCACCTTCAAAAATTACACCAGGAACTAAGGACCAAATGTCCCACACATGAGCCAGTGGGAGACATTTCATATTCAAACCATATGAACAATTTACAAAGGAAAATATATAAATGGCTAAGGGGTACGTGAGAAGATGCTCACTGCAGTGGCCAATGCCCCTTCCATGAATTTCCTCAAACAAAACATAAATCTCTGTGTCCACACAATCAATATTTGAGTGTTTTCAGTGGATTCTCACAGCTAGAAAATATAAACAGTCCAAATAACCCCCAACCAACAAATGGGTCAATGCACAGGTATGATATGGTACATCTATAAAATGGGATAAATAAATACAAAATATGTTTGCTAAGAAAAGAATATAGACTCAGACCCCACATAGTATATAACACTGTTCATACGACAGTTTGGAAAAGACAAGACTATAGACAGACATTTCTGAATATAAGATGGAGAGAGGATTTGGCTGTGAAGGAATGCAGAAGACATGGTAGGGGGAGTGCTGGAGTTGTCCATGTTTTGGTGTGGTTGTGGTTACATAAGTGTGATATGTTTGTCAGAACTGTGTTAATTATGCTGTATATTAATTATATCTTAATAAGGCAAACCCACAAAAGAGAGGATCAGAATGTCCATGTCCTGAAAGCAGAATGAAAAGAGTACTTGGAAAGAGTGAGCCAGCAGGAGAGGATGGGAAGACATGGAAAGGGCAAAACATGAACAAAATATATATAAATAAATAAATGAAAATGACCCAGTGAAGTTTGCTTCTCTGTATGCTAACCCAAAAGATGTTCATTAAAATTGAAAAACTAATACAAATTGATTGCTCATTGTGGCGAATTGAATAAGAAAGACTGCCATAAGCTCATATATTTGAATACTTGGTCATCAGGAAGTGAAACTACGTGAAAATGATTAGGGTGTTGTCTAATTGGGGTGGGTGTGGCCTTGTTGGAAGAAGTGTGTTACTAGGGGTGGGCTAGATCTCAAAAGCTCAAGCCAGACCCAATTGCTCTCTCTTTCTGCTGCCTGCAGATCCCAGTGTAGAACCCTCAGGGACTGTTCCAGCACCATGCCTGCCTGCCATCATGCTCCCCACCATAATGACGATGGGCTAGATTTCTGAATCTGTAAGCCAGCCCAATTAAATGCTTTCTCTTACAAGAGTTGCTGTGGTCACAGTGTCTCTTCACAATAGAACAATGACTAGGACGCTCATAAAAAAGTAAACTCTAATTTTGCCAGTTTCAGTCAAATAAATTAATGTAGTAACCAATAAAATAGAACAAAAGAATTAATTCATGTCTGTTCTCAAAGATTTATCTATCCCAGTTTGTAACTGATAAAGGAGAATTATTTAATCTAATTTAATCTATTTCAGCTTTTGTGTCATATGTTGGTTAGGTCCATTATTATAATTAATGCATACATATATAATAATTGATGTTATAATCATATGTTACACTGAAATAATAAAAATGAATGAAATTAAAATTTCTTATGTTTTTAAATATTTCTTATGTTTTCTTTTCTTTGTGACTGTGTGTATATGTGCACTTATATGCGTGTATGAGGGCACACACATGACACAGTATGCCATTGGAGGTCAGAGGACGGCCTTGGGTGATGGTCCTTACCATCTACCTTGCATGAGACAGCATCTCTTTGTTGTTGCTAAGCGATTAAGTCAGTCTAGCCAGTCTACAAGCTTGCAGGTGCATGCTATCCTGCTGGCTTTAGGTGGGATCTGAACTCAAGTCATCTGCTTACTTTGAGCCATCTCCCTATACTTTACACCATTTTTCTGTAATTTTGCCACGTGTTACAAGTTGAAAGGGTTCCCCTAAAGTGGAGGTATATAGCCCACCTATCTACTTTTTTTTTGGAGAGTCTGCACACTAAGATAAGGTCATTAAAATGGTGTAATTGGGTTTTTTTTAATACAAAGTAGAAACCTGAAGACAGAGACAGACCTATGCACCATGAAAATGCCAGTGTAGAAGGAAGGGGAAGCTGAGGACGTGCACCTGGAAGCCAAAGATTGATGATGGAAGCTACAGAGAGGGACAGAGCCCATTGTCCCTCACAACCATTAAAAGGAACAAAGGAACCAATCTAGCTGATTTCTCAATTTAAGACTTCTAGGATCCTATATATCCTACTGGATGAGAAAATGGATTCTGTGCATGTATTTGGAGTGTGTGTGTGCTTGTGTGTGTGTGTGTGTGTACGCAGTCTTTTTTATTTGGGTTTTTAAAAAGAGAAAACATGAAATTAGGTGGGTAGAGGGGGAGAACTTGGGAGGAGTTGGAGGAGAAAAAAAAAGAACATGATTAAGATATATTACATGAGAAACTTTTTTTCAAAAATTGTAAAAGCAGACTTTTAGTCTCCAGAACTGTTGTAAAAGCAACAGTGATGTTTCTCTGTCCTTTTAGAGATGGGAGGCAGATATGCTTGTATTTCAAGAGGTGATACCAAGAACTAAGTATGGAGAAAAGCAGCCAGTTGTTCTAAAACATTTTAATTTCAGGAAAAGACCCTATGGAACACACCAAACTTGATTGCCTTAAAGCTAACTGCTTGAAGACCCTGGTAACATTTTATATGGAAAACTAAACCTTGTATATGTACACAGGAAAATGGTGTTTATCTCAATGTTTTTCGTTGTTGTTGTTTTGTCTTATGTGGTTTCTGTTTGGTTGTTGTTGAGACAGAGTATTGCTACACAGCCTTGGCTTGTTTAGAACTTACTATCTATCCTCCTGCCTCTGCCTTTTAACGGTTGTAATAACAGTCATAGTCTCCCATGCCCAGCTTACCCTTAGCTGTTAGCTGTCAACTGAACTCTGAACTGTGTTTACCATTGAGCCCTGCTTTTGCTTGTGAACTCTGCCATCTTGCAGGGAATGCTTCCCGGCCCCCCCCACCTCCCCACGGCTATCATTCTTATTCTCCTTCATCACCCAATGCTTGTTCAACTGTGTTTCATTTTCCATACATTTATCATGTTCTCTCATCTACACTTCCTCCCTTCCCATCATACATACTTTAAAAAAAAAAAATCCTTAGTAGCCTTTTAATGAAAATTCAAGAGCAAAAAAGAAAAAGTAGGATCTTGAAACCAAAAATTCAAAAAAAGATCTTAAGGTCATTTCTGACAACTATTGTAAATGTACCACTCACCTTCGCTCCAGGCAAGGAAGCAAAGATGCTCTGTGAGTGAGCTCAGTGCAGCCCAGCTTCTCCTGCCATGCCCCATCCAGATGTGCTATGGCCCACAGCTGCACCCTAGGAAACAGTATGTCCTGACTGAATGGCAGACTCACAGGCTGTGATTTAAAAGCCATACCTGCTTTATCTAAGCAAGCATTTCACTTCTGGTTCCCTAACACCAGAAACAAGGAAAACCCAACCAGCATTTATGAGGTGGCACCAACGGGGGAGACCAGATCGCCTTTGGCAAGCACATGGCTTTCGAAAACACACCTGTTTCTTTGTTATTGACGGTGTGATTAATCGATCCCTGGAATCTGATTGAAAACATTGGGACATAAATCATGCCATATGAGTAGTCCCGGAAGCATCCCTGCTAGTAATTCGAAGCATATTTCAACTGCCCCTGGCATGCATTTCTGGATTAGTGTCACATACCGGTTCACAAGAAGCAACGGGGGCTATTTGTTTATATGGTCACATTTCTATCCTTCATTTTACTTCATATTCAACTTGACACCAGCTATACATATCAGGATACACATGAGTGTGGGCTTTCAGCCCTTTGCCAAGTATCTGAGAACAAGGCATTGGCTGGCTCGCTAGTGAAAGCAGAATATCCCAGAGTGATATTTTTGTAAGGAACATCATTACCTCACCAGTGTACTTGTGACCTGAACTTCTGTCTAAGTGGAAATGCTCTTCATCATTAAACCTGGGACAGGAGTTGGGGTAGTCTTCTTTTTGTTTCCAAGGCCCACACTTACTTAGATATGTTTAGCATGATGAATGGCAGTGTTCTTTGTCTCACTTTCTAGGACTAGGAGAGAAGTGAGTAGTACATGACCACTTGCACTAGCAAAGAGAAAGCCACCATGATGAGACTAAAATAGTTACCAAAAGGCTAGTTAAAAGCTGGCCAAAGCCTGAAGCCCTCAAAAAATTAGACTGAAGCAGGAAAAAGTAAAGAAGACACCATACTCCTTGAAATACACACATTAGTGTGTGGCGATTGCCTTGGGAGTATAGCTTTCCTCTGAGATTGTCTGTGGCCAACCCTCACCACAGCACACTGGGAAAGCTGTAATGTCTCCATGTTCCAGATGAGAACATAAAAGCAGCCATGGTATTGGTGAAGCGTGCAACCACACGACTTTGTTAGGTGTCAGGATTCAATTTCATTTTGTTGGTAGGTATTGATTTATTTAAATAATTGGTGACAATCCCTTAGCATTCTGTAATTCTCTAACTGATCCAGAATGCTGAATCTACCTGGCCATTGAAAGAAAATGACTTGAGGGACCTATACTTTATCATCAATATAATCACTGTGTTTGTGAGCAAAAGCAGTCCTTCCCCATGCTGTTAGGCTGGCTGTAATGGAATACATACATTCCTGCAAAATCATTCACGCTATGCAAAAATATCAGGGTTTCAGGGCTTGTAGGAGAGAGAGAGAGAGAGAGAGAGAGAGAGAGAGAGAGAGAGATCAGGGCAGTGCCCTCTAGAACATTATCCCTGACTCTAAGGGAAAGGAGGAAAGGGGGAAAAACTAACAGAGACAATAGCACAGCTTCATGTTTTCATTCAAGAATGGTATAACTACTCCAATAAATACCATACATCATTTGAAAACCTACAAGGGGGCTGCAGACATGGGAGCTGGAGTGGCTGCCTGTGGTGAACTATCACGAATTGTTGGAATGTGGTTGTCTATATTGGACAATAAGTTCTTCAGCAGATGCCGCTCTGTCCTCAGTTTCATGGTCCCATCATTTCATGAACAACACAACAAGCTTTCTGCACATAGTAGGATGCTAGGTCAGCACCTATATTTTAACCCACAGTTACACAATCTTCAGCAGTCTCGACTCCAGGAGGATATTTCCCATCTAGGATCCTTCAAGATCTACTTGTGTCATCTAATAAATACTTGTTTTATAAAGTTGAGGCTATGATCTATCATGTAGCCGCCTTCTTTAGTGAGCACTGATAGAACTGATGGAAATGCTATGCTGGATGTTATGACCTTTCCCATGAGCGGAAGGATTTCAAAATTGAGAGATGCTTAAAAGCTTTCTGTCAGTGACTGCTAGAACATGAAGGAGCCACTTCCATGTTAGATCATGAAGGAGCTACTTCCATGCTAGAACATGAAGGAGCCACTTCCATTTTAGAGCATAAAGGAGCCACTTTCATGGGAATCTGCTCTTTTTCTTTATGGCCTCTGAAGAAAGATCATTCTTTCCTTTTGCAGATTCTAATTGGTACTTTAAATCAAAATAGTAGAATTTACTAAAGATATTTAAACAATTCTTCTACTTCCTTGCATGTAGAAAAGTCCATGCATGCAAATAACAGGCAGCGGAAGATGATGCAAGCGAGTGGGTGTTGGGAACACAGGTATGCAAGGGCTGTTGTGTCTCTGTGGTTTGGTTTGAAGAAAAAAATGAGCATAAACAAACAAAACTTATATTTTACTCACATGATTCACAAATTTATCATTTATATAGCAACAAACTAGTTTTCCAGATAACTATGCAAAAGCCTTGGTGATCAGATCACTCTATGTCAAGCATGTTTGAAACTCTCCCATGCTATCTCTCAGGAGATTCTGAATGTGCTAGGACTTCTTAAGAGAAAGAACAGCCTGGAGAATCATGTCTTCATATAATTATATGACACCACAGATAAGGATATAAAATACTGGGTCTGAGTTTCTGTGAGGAAGGTCCCGACTCATGAATCACAGAGGTGATTAAATTAAATGCCACTTGCGACAGTTTTTTTGATGTTGCTCCATGACACAAAGTCATTTCTACAAAGAATGAAGTTTTCCACCAAGTATGGCACCTTTCTTACCGTCAGTTACCTATCAGAAACATGGTGAGTATCTTTCAAAAATTTCATAAACTGAAACCACTCACCTCTTGGTTACTCTTGAGTAAGGTCTACATAGGAATTTGTTTTCTCATGCTGACTATGATCATTTTAATGAAACATGACAGTAGGCCAGAGTGAGGAAAGACTGCAATCCAAGATGCTTGTGAGGCTGAGTGCTGAGGAATAACCCTTCTGTACACTTTCTAAATTATACTGTGATTGGTTTACTAAAGAAGCTGAATGGCCAACAGCTGGAGAGAATAAGGTTAGGCCAAAAAACCAAACTAAGGACTCTGGGAAGAAGGGAGGGAAGTCTCAAGTGAGATGCAGAGGAAACAGGAGATGAGCATGTCATGCTGAAAGAAGGTACCACCATGTGGCAAAGGGTAGATAAGAAATATGGGTTAATTTAAAATGTAAGAGTTAACTTGTAACCAGCTGAGCTATTGACCGAGCATTTACGATTAATATTGAATCTCTATGTCAGTTATTTGGGTTAGGTGGGAAAGAAAAGTCGGCCTACCGCTGAGGATACCTGACACCAAAACCGAGTCTTGCTTAGACTATAGAGTCTGTAGCCACTCAGAGGAGCTTAGTAAGATTTATTTCTCAAAATGAGAAAAGACTAAAGACACAGCTCAGGGGTTGAGTGAATTGCTAGTATATACAAGGTCCCAGATTTAAGTCACAGTACAAGGAGAGAGGGGGGAACTAGATATGAAAAACAACCTTCAATGTGTTAAGGTGTATATGCATGTCCTATAACCATAAGAAGTGTCAGTTGGATGATTCAGGTTTGCAGAGAAAAGACAAAGAGGATCTTATTTACCTAGATGTGTTCTTGACTCCTTACTTGCTCGAACACTCCATTATCTCTCTCTCAAGAAATCTCCTTGGCTCCACTGTCAGACAAATATGCAATCTCATACCATCATGCCATCTCAGTTGTGGGTACCTCATTCAACCACCTCCAGCCTACTCCCCTAGAACAATAAGGCTCTGGAAAATCACCTTGCTTCTCTGTTTTGACATCTTCCTTCAGGTTAGACTTGAACTAGCCAACCTTGCTGCACTTGGAAGGCTTGTGAGTTTCCACATTTTGCTCAAGACAGAAAAGAATCCATCACGTATCACTGTCTCCATCTCTCAATGCACTGCAGGCTTTGTTGGCCTGCTTGAAATATGACAAGCAGTTTACCTCCACCTGCTGCTGCACAGATTTTGTATAAACGCCAGTACCTGGATGAAATGCATCCAGACCACCAATCAAAAAACAAAACAAAACAAAGCAAAACACTCTACACTCCTCCCCATGTAAAAACTACTTCTGTCCTTTTAATTCCTCCCGTAGTGTTTCCTTCCTTCTGCCACGTTAGGTTTGCAAACCATCCATGTCATCCACAGTGTGTGTGCAGCATGAGGCCTGGTGTCTCCTACATGTGTACTGTGTCCTGTGTCCCAACAACTGTATCTGGCATATAACAAATGCTTAGGAAAAACTGACTGAAAGAGCTATAGGTCAGCAAAAGTTAATTGAAGGAGAAGTTGACTATTTTCCACCAAAGAGAAAACAGATAAATTTGTACTCCCCCTTGGAAAAATGAATGAAAATTTAGATTTTCTGACAATAATGAAGAATAAAACTGTTAAACTATCTGGAGGTAGCTCCTTGTAATTGTTGAATTCTTTTTTTGAGAAGCAATGTGTTTTCATCAACCGAGAATCAGTTAGAAACAGGGAGTGAAATCTGAATTCTATTCTTGGTGAGCACAGCCAGCCTGTGGTATCTACAAGTTCTACATCCACAAATCTGGGCCATTAAAGATCAAAACTATTCCAAAAGTAATGATGTTTATACTAAATATGTAAAAGACTTTCTTGTCTTCATTCTCTTTCAAAAGAAGGAATAACAACGATTTTCATGTATTAATGTTGCTGTAGACATTATAACTACCCCAGGGTGGCTGAAAGCATAAGAGAGTATTCATGATTTTTATGTACATGCTAAGTCATACATATAAAAGATGTCAGCACCTATGGCTTTTAGTGTTTGCGGTGGGTGCTGGATCCAATCTTCCTCATTGTACTACATCTTTGTCACATATTTCTACAGAGAAGCCTTTGCTATGCATCTTTTCCAGAAGAATTTCAGAGTCCATTGTTATGATAAATCTTTCCGCCAAAAGCTGCCTGGGCCCCACCGCCACGTGTGAGCTTTATGCCAGCCACCCGCCCAAGTTAGGCCCAAATGAATACACAGAAACTTGTATTAGGTTTAATGCTGCTTGGCCAATGACTAGCATTCTCATCTGTTAGCTCAGTCTTAACTATCATAAACCTTTATGTTTTATAAGACTTATCTTATCAGATGCCTTATTGGTGTCCCTCCTTGTCAGTGGATCACATCTTGCCGCTGGAGCAAGAGCAGAGGGGAAAAGAGACCCTTCCTGTTTCTCCTTCACTTAAATATGAGTCACTTCCTGCCTGGATCAACACTTCTCTACTACATTTCCCAGAATCCTCTTTGACTCCTAGTCCTAACTTGCTGTCTCATTGGCCAAACAGTATTTTATTTAACAATCAATAAGATAAATATACACAGTAGTACATTCCCCATCAGTCCATGGGCCACAGTTTGCTACTTAAGGGGTTGCACTGGTTATTTCAGAGTTTAATGTTCTTATATCTATGATACTGAATCTTAAGCTACAAAGTGTACAAATAAAACCTTTCTCAGTAAACCAAATTGAAAGTTCAAATGCAATTATTGTTCAATTTGAGAAGATCACACTTCCTGCTTCATAGGAAAAAAAAAAAAACTTCCTCTGCTTTAAAGGAGTAAGACAGTCCTCCTAGAGATTTCAGAAATAGTTATACATATACCATGTCCAAATATTCTAGCTGTTCATGAAGAATAAGGCTGAATAAAATCTTAGCAAACCATAGTGATATTTTTTTTTTTAGGTTGGAAAGAAGAAATTGTCTAAAACTCCTTTGTAGGGGACACTGTAACCATACCTGCTAGGGGCTGGCTACAGGTGTGCCTGACCACGCCTGCGAGGGTGTGGTCAGGATGATGGAGGGAAGGTTTAAGAGTGAGGAGCACGCATGTGGAAGGTCCCTTCTTCCTTTTCATCTTCGACTTGCTGTACTTATTCCTGCCCTGCAGGCTGGTTAGGTCACTCTGTAAGTAAGGCTTCTCCCGAATAAATACCCTTATATTTTTACCTGACTCTGTATTGGTAATTTCCACATTACTCCTTTTAGCCTGGTGGTGAATAAGTTTCATAAGAAAGCAAGATACACTGATAGCATAATTATATTCTGCAATGCCACTCTAGGCTCATACAAAATAAGAACCAAAAGAAAAGTTTATAATAACAAAATGAATTTTCAAAGTTCTGCTGAGCTTTTCACAAAGTGGACTGATATTGATGTTCAGACTGAAATAAATAAACATAAATGAAGCATCTGAATAATTCTACCAAACTAAGGATACTTCCTTTATAATAAAATAGCTTTGGGCAGGGCAGAGCTCAGTGGATAAGTGCTAACCCTGCAAGCATGGAGACTGGCATTGGAATCCCTGAACCCACACAAAATCAGATATGGTAGCCATCTATAGTCCCAGAATTCAAAAGAAAAATGTTAGGGGCTCCTAGAGCAAGCTGGATAGGTAGATTAGCAAGCTTTAGAAACAGGAGATCCTGCCTCAATAAATAATGAGGAGATTCTTAATATGAACTTAGGACTTATAGAGACATGTACATTGGTATATGCATAATGCCCTACATGTGCACCCACATGCAAACACACACTGAGAGAGACAGAAACAGAGAGAGAGGGGGAAGGAGGGAGGGAGGGAGGGAGGGAGAGAGAGAGAGAGAGAGAGAGAGAGAGAGAGAGAGAGAGATTAGAATTGGGAGTGAAAAGACTACATTATTATTATTTGTCCTATAAATTGTCTTTGGATGAGTATGAAATTTCTTAATCTTTTCTGAAATGAAATTCCAAGTGTAAAATGGAAATATTTAGATACGTTCTGAAATAATGAAAATGCAAGTTTCATTGTTCTAATATTTAGAGACACAGGTGTTAACTGAGAAAAATAATTGTTCACTGTAAAATTCTTAAGTACTTTGAACTAGAAAATACTTAAAAGAATTTTAATAAGCATGATCATAGTCCCTGCACCTAGATTCAACAGGAGCTAATATTTCACAGTGTGTATTCATCTCTCCGTATACATATTAGCCTATATTACATACAAGATTTTTTCAGCAAAGACTTACTTTGTGCCACTGTTTTCCCAAAGAAGTCTCTTTACACAGCCATTCAGGAAATCCTTACTTCTATTATGCTGTATGATGATGGGACAAATAAGACTTTTCTCTGCATTTAATGGGTCTATGATTTACTGAATGGAGAAAATCTCATATGGGTGGGATAAAGTTTAACATCGCAGGTGCTAAGAAAGTCATAAATTGGAGATGTCTGTATCCTGAGTTTAATCCAGGGATTCGAGAAATAGTTTCCAAGGAGAGAGAGAGAGAGAGAGAGAGAGAGAGAGAGAGAGAGAGAGAGAGAGAGAGAAACCTCTTTCATATCAGCCCATTGGCTTGCTTGTTCACCTGATAATGCCCATTTTTATTTATTGACACGTATGTCTTTGTACCATCTTCCTCACTTTTATAACCCCTTTCATTGCCTTCCTGCATACACTCATGGCCTGTGTTGGTAGCTTTAATATGCTTCTATTTCTGAATCCTGTAAGTCAAGGCAGGACAAATCCAGCAAGAGACTTCACTATAGTACTTTCCGTTAAATTCCAGGTCAGTGGTTAGCAAAGGTAACTGGTGACTCTCAGAAAGAGCTACCAAAGATCTCACACTTAGATTATATTTCTCTTCTAGGGTTTCTTGTTTTCTTGGAGATTCTGATTGCAGTATGAAGTTAAGGTCTACAGATGTAATTCTGTAGCTTGAGAAAGCATGCTGACATGCTAAGATTCTGGTTCCATGTCAGGACCT